TTTTTTTTTTTTTTTTTTCTGTTTTAGATATGGCTCGATACTTAGAGGGCGTTGGAGTTTTAACTCGAGAAAATGGAGCTTATTGCATAGAAAAAGATTCTGCTACCATTACTAAGTTTCTTAATCGAATTCTTGGGTTACCTGTCCATGCGCAAAATGCTCTTTTTCAATATTTTTCTGACATTGTGGCAGAGTTGGTGAAACAGGCAAAGCATGATGGAAGTTACGATATGGGTATTATGGGTAGGTTTTTGGTTTTTTCTTACACGAGGAACCCGAGCAATAATGCAGTTACTCGGATTGTTTCCTGTCGATAGCCAAGTTGATTATTTGATTTTTTAGATCTTGGTATGGGGGGTGACGAAGCGCGGAAGTTGGAAACAAGAGTGTTTCTTGGCCGTGTTGAACGAGGTAGTTATCGAGTGGAGATCCATAAAATTGGGGTTGAGAGAGGCGTTAGCTGGGAAGACGCATATGCAGTGTGGAAAGATCATCATGAAGAAGAGGTTCCTATTGTTCGAATCTTCGTCTTGCCACTTTTTATTATTTCTGAACCTTGTTTTTTGTAGGATGGGTTTTATGTGTCTAACGTTGGTGTGAATGGGAGGAAGGCTGCAATTTTGGTTTACGGTATTGGCAAGAAAATGTTAGATACCGGTGCAAGACTTTACTGTGTGACGAGACCTAGTACTGGGCGTAGTGCAAAGTTAGAAACCTTGGCAGAATTGTCAAAACGGTTTCGAATTGCAACTCCAGAAGAAACCGAAACAATTTGGAAACAGCAGTATGAAGGTCGGCAAATAACGGAGTGGATATCGTTTTTTCCTTTTTAGATTTGGTAATTTCCGATGGGATTTTGTAGGGTCACGTGTGATGTGCCAACATAAGTACTTTCATGGTCGCTGTAGATGTGAAGCGAAGGGTGTGTATTGTGAGACGGGTAGAAGGACGCGTACATATTTTGTCCTTTCTGGGTCTGTGCTTTCTGTGTGGCCGGTAGTCGAGGAATCGTTGAGTAGTGGCCTTTCCTCCAGGGAAGTTAAGAAAGAGCAGCGTATGCAGATAATTCGCGTTCGAACTGAGGAAGATTTAAAGATTGTTGGTGAGTGCTTTAAGTACATGGTTTTTGTTCCTCTAACTACGGTTTTTCGTTCTTGTGGTTGCTTCGGCACTTACTCTGCCAAAGCTTTTTAGGCTTACTTATTTTGCCCCAGTACGTTAGAACCCTCGTTATTCGACTTGAGGAGCATTGTGGAAGTTCATTTGTTGAGCAGAAAGCGAATGCTATTTTATGATTTTAGAGTTATATATTTTCTTACTCAACCTGATTCCTTCCAGATCCATCGTTTTCTTTTCCTGTATGGATTTTTTAGGATTTAAAGGGAAGTAGTAGATTGATGATTAGGTGAATTAAGAAGCAAAATTGCTGCTTAGGTGGAGGGTTTTGCATTATTTTGTAGTATTGAGTTTAGTTAAACAATTTTGCTTTGTTTTTTTTTTCTTTTTTTTTTTCAATTATGGAACCGGTCCAGCAAATCAATTTTTTGGTCAGTTATTCCGTTGATCAGCTCATTGTTTTTTTGTTTTACTTGTTTTCAGATTTCTTATTGTTTCTCAGCTTGTTTACGTTTCATAATATTTTGCTAGTTAATCATGTTTGCAAATTGTTATTTGTGAGTCAAGAACGCGGTGAAATATACGGATATATGTTTTTACCTCCTTCCATTATTTCCAGGATGAAGCCAAATCATATACTATAGATGACGGGGGGCTTTATCTTCTGGTTTTTTACGTTTTCACATTTGTTTTCGAAATGTATTTTTTACGTTGATTACATTGTAAAAAGTTTTGCCAATGCCGTTATTCGAACTTTTGCTCATTACTTTAGATCTTTTTTTTTTTCATTTTCTATACATATCTGGCTTGTTACTTCTCTTGTAGCAAGAGCTATACTACTATCGGCGACTTTTGATCTGGTTTTTGTATAGATAAGTCGCTTA